AGTCTATCCAGTGAAGTGATAGAAAGAAGGAAGTCCTAGGAAATGTGGGGTACCATTTTCCAAAGTTGGTTTTTTGCTCTGCACTAAACAACACGAATCACACTCTTCTCGGATTATTAGCATCATTTTAAGAGAACCATAGTAGATGATGTTATCACACTCTTTTTAACAAACAGCTTTGTTTGTAGGGAATGGAGCATTAACACCGTAAGGAAGAATGTCCATTTTCATAATCTTACCCAAAAAAAACATGACCAAGAACCTGCAAGCCCTTTTCATTGCTAATGCTTCTAGCTGGATAGGGTCAAAGTGACTAATAGGTAATAGAAGAATCTAAGTAAGCAAGTTGAGTGTGGGGGCAACAACCAGGGGCTTGAAAACTGCTCCAGAATTGTGAGTAAATATTCATAAAATCTGTCTCTCATTATACCATCACACTCAGATTGTAGATAACATTGGGGTGTAATTACTCTGTGTCAGGAGCCAGGTGGTGGGAAGAATCCTGTAATTCATGAGCTTTTGAGTCAGAGTCCATGTTTGCTTATCTTCTTTTTACTTTTAAGGTAAACATATTTGGATCAGGTAAAATTAGAAGCTGAAAGCAGAATAGTTTAGTAGACAGAATATAGGAGAAAACTGCGTTTATTTTTCTTAACTTTTTCTAAGGGCACTAAAACCCAACATGTCATATATCAAGAATAACTTAAATAATTCTGCCTTACATTTAAATACTGCTGTTCTGATTTATTATTGCCTTTTGTCACAGTATTACTCAGGTGTCCCATTCTTAATATGGAAAACTGGCTTGATAGTCATGCTGATAAGTAAAATCAGGTTTGAAATCATCCCTGTGGTTTAGTAAATTCATTACTAATTATCTTCTATTCATTGCAGCTGTAATCTAACAGTTACCTCTACTGTTTTATATGTGTAAAATCCATGATTATGCCACACAGGAAATAGCTGTTTTGTCAGGCTGTTACTGATCTGGGTCAGTATAATTAGAACATCTGTAATGCTCCTTTTTATATTGACTTTGAGGAAAAATTATCTTGAGATTAAAGAATTCAGTTCTAGTTTGTGTGTGACCTTTGGTAAATTCATCTAATCTCCCTCTGTATATTTTAGTATATATTATGTAGATTACTATGTATAAATCTGTATGTATTATGTAGAGTAATGAAACCAAACCTGTCTTGTCAACTGTAGGTGGCAAGCTCTTCATAACAGTAGGCACCAAGGAGTTGTCTTGGAAAAATGCTAAACAGAGCAGCCTACACCAGCCAGAAAGCACGCTAGCATTTGAGCAAAGTAGACAAACACGTCCAGTGCTCGTGTTGTTCTAGTTAGCAGTGGGGGTGTATCCAGAATGATGGTACTGAGAGTTAGAAGTGTTTTCAGCGTGCTGAAAATAAGGTGTCCTTGGATATCAGGGACATGACTCAAAATTCTTGACCTCTTCTGGAAATCTCAGCCTGTCTAACCCTTGATGAGTCAGTTGTTCGCTTAAGATGAAGGCAAAACATGCCACCTGGACTCGTCATAAATCAGCTTTAGAGCTTTTTCTTCAGAGGGAGAAATCATTTCGCATTGTGTCCAGCTCTGGAGCCCTCAGCACAAGAAGGACATGGAACTCTTGGAGCGGGTCCAGAGGAGGGCTACAAAAATGATCTGAGGGCTGGAGCACCTCTCTTATGAGGACAGGCTGAGAGAGTTGGGGATGTTCAGCCTGGAGAAGAGAAGGCTGCGGGGAGACCCGATTGTGGCCTTTCAGTACTTAAAGGGGGCCTATAGGAAAGATAGGGACAATCTTTTCAGCAGGGCCAGCTGCGAAAGGACAAGGGGTAATGGTTTTAAACTGAAAGAGCATAGATTCAAACTAGATATAAGGAAGAAATTCTTTACAATGAGGGTGGTAAAACACTGGAACAGGTTGCCCAGAGAGGTAGTGGAGGCCCCATCCCTGGAAACATTCAAGGCCAGGTTGGACGGGGCTCTGAGCAACCTGATTGAGTTAGCGGTGTCCCTGCTCCCTGCAGGGGGGTTGGACTAGATGACCTCTAGGGGTCCCTTCCAACCCAAAACATTCTATGATTCTATGATTTCTGTAAAGCTTACGCATACAAACTTGGGAATGTGCCCATCCACTCATACCCTTTTAGAGATTCAGATGAATGATGGTGTGCTAGCAGTGATTGGCACCAGGGGGTGAGGCCAGAGTAGACGGATGCTCTCTGCTCCCTTTAGGAAGTCTGTCCCTGCTTAACCTTACCGGGGGGGGTGCAGAACTTGAAACGTGAAGTGCCATGGACCCCACTGGTAGTACACAAAATAAAATAGACTTCTTATGCTAATGCTTATGATGTTGGCACTATTATTAATCTAACTTACAACTCTGTTATCTCACTATTTTGGGAGGAAAGACAAAATAGATTACATGTCACTTGCATATACACCCACTCAAAAAGTATGCTAGAAATTTTAAACTTCACCACAGGTCACATGCTGGGTCATTGAGATAATTCCTGGCTGGAAGGAAAGCTGAATCAGTAATACCCCATCACATCACACAAAGGTGAAATAATCAACAAGTTCATCTTCATCTGGTGTAATGTGGTTTCCAGAAAATTTAAAGAAACTCAGAAAAACTGATGGATCATAAAAAAATTGCTTTGAGTATATAAATTAAAGAAAAGGTATTAGGTAAAATGCAGGAATCTAGAGAGAACTCCTAATTTCCACCTTCATCTTCAATCCTTCATTTTGTATTTTGCAGAATCATAGTGGTAGAAGCCATATCAAGAGATGACCTAATCTGTCCTCCTCCTGTGGGATAGAATCATTACATATCTAACTAGTTCTTTACAGGTATCTGTGTAGTGGCTTTTTTTAATTCGTTTTTTCAAAATGAACTCTTAGTAATGGGAATTCTTCAATTCAAGGATTCTCCAATTCTTGGCAGTTCCAGTGCTTCACTATTGTAACCAATAGAGGGTTTTTAAAGCTGCAGATTAAGAGCATAAACTTAGCTGTCTACCTGTAGGTGTGTTCATGTCAGGTATTATTTAATGACGTGCTTCGTTGAAGGTTTCTCTACAGGCAGTGGAACCTGGTGAGCCATTCATTGCACTCTCAAGTAGGCATCTACCATAGCAGAAGCCAGGCCTGGGGAGTCTGTGGAATTAGGCTTGTAGGTTATTTGTAGACATCTAAATTTAGGTGGCTGAAGCTGAAATCCACCCCAGACAGTGAATTTAAATCTCCCCTGCTGCAATTTAAATCTATCCAAGTCCTTTTTGCAGTCAGCCTGGAGAACAGATTTCTCCTCTTTTGTCTCATACTTACCTTCTATGTATTATTTTCTTCTGTAGACTGATCAACTATTATTTTCTCACAAATCACCTTTTTAAACCTTTAATGCTCACTTTTGAGTTGTCTCCAGGCACTCCATCGCTTTCTTCAAGCAGTATGCTCAATTCAGTACTCATTTGAATGACAACTTCAACTAGAATGCAAGAACCCTTTTAAAAGTTATAAATTATATACCTCTTTAAACCTCTTGAGTACGGTGTTGGTCTGTTTTCTGCAATGCTCGTTAACTCCCGTAAGCTTGGAGTTACTGCCTACTATAATTCTGCTCTGAACTACTGTGTGACTAGTCAATACCATCCTGTATTTGTGCAGCTGACTATTCCTACTCTTCGCAGGTTTTAATTTCATTTCTTTCTACATTTTCCCTTGTTATCTCATCTATTGGAAGCCTGTATTTTTTTTCTTTCAGACAAGCAAAAGCCATGTATTCCTGTAAAGCTGAGCACAGTCATGAGCTGTCTTTCCCACAGGGGGCAATATTTTCCAATGGTAAGATATGTTTTGCATTCTCTTTATGCATAAAAATATATAAAAAACTGAACTGTATCCACAAGATAACAGAGTGTAATTCCATTTTTAACTCTCAGTTTTTGCCCTGATTTTTCAATTGCTCTTGAATAAATACTGTCTAAATAAATATATAAACCATATATAGAAACTTTCAACAGTGTTAATTTATTGTAAATATGTTTTGCTTATCTGGCTGCTTGGGTTTTTGTTTTTATTTTTTTGCAGTGTATCCATCAGTGGAACCAGGCTGGTTAAAAGCAACTTATGAAGGCAAAACAGGACTCGTTCCTGAGAATTATGTTGTCTTCCTCTAGTAATCTTTAGTGGACAGCAATATCTTCATGGTATCCATGGTAACAAATAATAAGCACTATGATTTTTTATCTGACACAGATATGGGATCAGCCCGTTAGCTGAGTGGTAGATTTCCTTCAGATACTGCAGCTGCAGGTTACACAGCTCCCTATCAGTGGAACAGAATGTAATGAAACAGTTAACAGTTTCTGTACTGAGGACGGTACTCTGTTTAAATAGCTTCCATTGTTTGCAAAAGGTTGTTCTGTTCTTCTTTTATGGGTAAGGAACACTAGAGCAATAAAATCAAAGAAAGCTGCCATTTAGCTGCAGAGCTGCAGGTCCTAGGATGTTGCTCACAGAAGTGTGAAATTTAGAGGCAATGCACTCTATGACATTTCTTGCAATCTATAGTTTTTAATATGGAAAATTGAATTTTTTTCATAATGTAAGTAATGCATCTGTTGTGATCTGAATTATCCCTTAGAAAACTTGATTCTAAAATTAGTCCTAATCATTTCAAATACGAAGTGTTTTCCATAAATCAGAAGTTAGTCATTGAGATTACAATGTTGTAGAATTTATGCAACTGATAATGGCATCAGTTTATACACTGCTTGAGCAGTAAGTGCTCATTCAAAATGTGATAAGTTTAGTGAATGTTTCCTTCAGATTCTTCTTAGATTTATTTCCTCCTTTCTATATCAGTACAGATAACATGAACAACTTTTATTTCTCTGATACCCGTCGTTGGGACGATATTCTCAGTGTATCTCAGAACATCTGTAGAACACAGGATGATGCTGAATCTGGACTGATTGGTGGTAAAGTGAAGTGAGCAGTGAAAAACAGCAGTATGTTTTGAATCACAAGATAAATTGTAGCTGACTCCTTTTCCAACTTTTTCCATTGCAAATAAGACAAACAGCCTGCAACATAGCTAATTTTATAAGCTATGAATGCTGAAAGCTCCATGTAGCAATAAAAGTATTTAGTATTATTTCTCCTGACTTCTACTAAACTATTTGACAAAGATTTCTCCCCTTCCACAGAATAAAAAAGCCTTATTTTTCAAAATTTTTGTAAGGACCCATTGATTGCTCCTGGTAGGACTGAAAAAAAAAACCCGATCTCAACAAAACCATAAGCAGTTTTCTAAATCTTGAGCATCTTCCTTGCATACCTGGAGGGAAAACATGCACTGCTTGCTTGGCCACTTACTATGCCTGACTGAAAATCTAGATATTTAAGCTCCTTATTAGTAATAGAGCATTAGTGCTACAGAAAGAATTCACTGTTTCATAGGCCTGTCTAGTTCTTTCTAGTTCTATCTTAGTTCTTTCTTCAGTCACATAAATCAATATATAAATATTCTCTTGATTTCAAAGTTGTACCCTACTTCCAGAAAGTCTAAGGAAGAGCTTCTGTTAGGACTAAAAACATCAGTAAGCTTTTATGTGCTTCTTTTTTCTTTCCATAGACTTTTTTCTTGTTTAAATTAGAAAATAAGATTTATTGCCAACATAAAGAAGCACATCAGAACCTTCTTTACTTGTATGTAGTGCATGATTTCTGCAGAGCAATTCTGTGTTGGAATTCAGGCTGGTGGCAGAAGCCTGCAGGAGCTTTCTCCTCACTAATTAAAGTATCAAGTGGTGATCAGGGAAGGAGAGAGTCTGTAACACCGTCCTCCCAGAAGAGGTCTAGCTTTTCAGAGGGATAGTCTGGGTAAGGCTGACTGCAAGCAGTGGAGGACAGACCCCTTGAATTAGTGACTGAGTGACCTGGGTTCTTTCTTCACTCTGAACAGTTCCATTTAAGTCCCAAATTATGTTTCACTTCACCTTAAGACCAGACTGTGTTCAGCGCATCGTGATGAAGGGCTGTTCCAGACATCGTCACAGGCAGTGAAGGCAGACACATGTGTGCTCATCTAATCTGCCCAGAGCAGATGTGAAAGGAAGTGAAGGTCTTTTCTCACCAGATTGAGCCTGTCTTATTTTTAAGGCAAGCCAAGAGTTCCTAGTGTAAGCTATGCCTGAAACTGCCATTGCCCTGAAAAGATCAATGTGGTTTTGATTGTGGTTTTGCTGTATTTCACACTCCAAAAACGGCATGATGTCAAAGGGCTTACCTCTGGTGACCTTCCCAGGAGTGCTGCTGCAGGCAAAAAGGAGCAGGAAGGGAGGCAGAGCTTTGGGCAGAGGCTGGAGGCCTGGCACACGCCTCACACAGGCAGAGAAATGCAGACCAAACCAAAGCCCCACCACTTCTATCTGTTGCACTGGGGTCACTGGCAAACAAACCGTTGTTGAACATTCTTTGATGACGTCCTCTTAGAAGGGATTCTAATTGTTGTGAAATTCTTGAGGAACAGTGAAGTAGCAAATGCTTGCTCTAGCTTTTATTAGCCTGATTTAACAAGAAGCGGGGGGAAAGCTAACCTTAGGTAATCTCACAGCCAGTATATATGTCTGGGCATTCTCCAATATTATGTTTTGAAACCAGCTGATCTGAGTGCAAGCTAGAGGACTCAAAGATGCTAAGTTCATTTAAAATTTTGTAAAAATGTGAAGTTCAGTTACAGATTAAGTACGTGGAGTCTGAAAGTGATGAAGGAAAGGTTGTAGAAAGACCTGGAGGATTCCCTGCGGAGGAGAGGTGTTCTGTCTATTCCCATGCATTCATCTCACACGAGACACAAAATTGAGTTGTAGAAGGCAACTTCATAAGAAACTGGATCCTACACATTCTGCTGCACACAAAACAAATCTGCATTTTCCTCTGTAAGACTCCGCACTTTTTCAGGCCTTTCTTCTGAACCAGCCATGACGATCACATAACAATTCTAAAGTACCTTAGCTTTAAAACAGCATTTCCGTCTGAAAAAGGTTACGCCCTTTCTTAATTACAGTTAACAAGTCTCAGTGGGATGAGTAGGGTTTTTCATTTTTTGAAATATTTTGTGTTTTTTCCATTCCTCTCTTCTGTGGTACTTAAGCACTTTCTGCATAATCTCGCTGCTGGGTTGTGGATGCCCCAGCTCTTCCCTGACTTTCCAGGAGGGAGTTTATTCCTACAAGAAGCTGTACAATGAACTGGAAAGTTAAGTAACTACGTGTTCAAAGGCTGAGATGGGGGAGAGGGCAGCACCAAAGCTTGTCTAATGATGATACTCTCAGGCCTGACCAAAAATTCCTTCTGATAATTGCAAAGGATCAGAAATCCATATAACATTTAAATGAAGATACAATATCTTGATAGTTCCTTACCAGAAAATGAGGGAAGCTGAACTAAATTAGTTCATAGTATTGATTTACTGCTTTTCAAGAAAGTCAGATTCACTCTACAAGCAAAGGTTGTGCAATTTTTTTTAATTAAAGGATTATTATCCTTCCTAAAAGGATGCAGCATTTTTTTCTGAGTATCACTGTAGAACTCAATGCAGATGACACATTGTGATTGCTGTTTGTCTTGCAGAAATAATGTCTGTACCCACGACTTATGTAATTAGCCATGTTTTTTCTTTTTTAAACATTTTGATACGTGTTGCAGCACAACATGAATCAAATTAATAGTGTGAAGGACTGATATATTGTATGATAAATATGTAAAGTATATTAATATTTTATATTCACAATTTTTATTAATGATGATAAAGATGAAAAATATTTTTGGTGTAATTCCTGTGAGTTCAGTATTAAAATGTCTTTGCCATATTTTGGCATTTAGAGTCCTATGTAACAAAACTCTTAAATTAAACTATAGCTATCACTTATGTCCCTAACTAATCTATAAAGTTCATTGTTTGATTATTTCTGGAAAAAAATGATGCACAGATTTGCTGACCAGCGCTATTCTATGATAGTAATAGTAACTTATTTTCCTTTTATGTATTTTCTGGTGCTAATCTCTATTCTTTGCCTGTAATTGGATTGAATTGTAATGTGCCTTTAGGAAAGACACGTTAGGAGAGGAAAAGTTGCAAAATTCAGCAGTTCAGCACAATAATTACTACAACAAAAAAAAGCATTGTATGGTAGTAATTGGATTTTTTTTTGTTGTTACATTTCTCCACTGGCCTATTTTCTACTTAATAAGATTGCATCGGAATAAATAATGAAACTAAAAGGCATATTGTTCTTCATAGTTCTTTTCCTAAGGCAGCAGTCTGTGTAATTTTGGATTGAGCAGCAAGAAGAGAAATCCCAGCAGGGGAGCACATCCTCCAGACTGGGGTAGATCTTCACTGGTGGAAACTCACAAAGCTCTAGTGAAGTCAAAGATAGATCTTTGGCAATTTATAGTGAGGGTTTGCTGGCCAGAAGCCCTCAGAAAGTAAATGGAATATTCTGTTAATGGGGTAACATACGATATGGCTTGACATCGTTCTGTCTTTCAGCAGAGTGCCCAATATGAATCGTTCTGTTACCAGAGATCGAGCTGTAAGCTAAGTTCAGTCATGTTCTTTGTGGTCACACAGCCCTGGCAGCTGCTGCTGCACGGCCCTTCCAGGTGCTGCTCATGCAAAAGTCAGACGGTCAGCCAGGCTGCTTCAGCACAAGTTGGAAAGTCTCTCTTTTTTGGATAAGATTTTGCATGGGCTTTGGGAGTTTGCTTTGTTTTGTTTTAATAAGGTGCTCGGTATCCAAACAGCTACTAATTCAGTGTTGTCATTCAGTCACTGAAGACCATAGCATTGTTTTTCTTGTCCTGTATGTGGCAGTATTTAATAAGCCTTAAGATTATCCTTGTTATTTTAAGTATAGGGAATGGTGCTTTAATCCTTGGATGTCTCAGCTGAAAGCTATTCTGCATCTGAGCTTTTTGCAAGTGTTTTGTTGGGAATTGTCATTGAAGTTCTGGCACTGAAGACGGCACCGTGATCTCAGCACTACAGGAGTTTCTGTTACAGCAAAGGGCAAAGCAGCTGAACAGGGCACGTGGGTAGTTTCAATTTTCAATCATATTTATGACAATTTCAGAGTTATTAGAGTTTATAGGGGTTACTTTAGATACT